GAAATGCATTTCAATGATATTCAAGAAAGGACAAAAGACCTCTTAGAAGGTAAGCATGTCAATCCATGATTCTACCCACTGGTAAAGTTCTCTACAAATGAAGGAGAAGTAATTAAGTGACTGAAAGAATGCCTTCTTCCCTTAATTAGCTGGACTTGGCATGGCTTCTCATTGTGCAAAGCACCATTTCATTGCAGGATGGGAAATGGCCTGGGCAAAGGTCTTAGTACAAGAAACAAAGCCTTGTGTTTCCTTACAATTTCTCATTACTGCAGCAGGTATTCCAGCTCTTGGGATATTAGTATTCTAGCTCTTGAAAACTATGTGGCAACAAGTTTGTTGTTGTTGCTGTTTACCATCGAGTTGGAACCAACCCATAGCTGACTCTCCAGCGGGTTTTCTAAGGCAATTAATCACATATGAGGAGACTGCCCATCCTTCTCCCATGGAGCAGCTGGAGTATTCAAACCACATGCTTTCGGGATTACAGTGCAGCTTCTTGCCATTAGGCCATGCTCCCTAGTATAAATCTACCTTTTCCAATATTAGTGTATTGGATATACCATGGACTGCTAAGAGAACAAAGAGGTTCATCCTGGAGAGGGTGAAATCAAGCTGCTCCTGGAAGGCAAGGATTCTGAAGCTCTGTCGGACATACTTGTGGCATGTTGCAAGAAGGGATCAGTCCCTGGAGAGGGACATTATGCTTGGGAGGGTGGAGGGTCAGCGCAAGAGAGGAAGACACTGAATGAGATGGATTGACTCAATGACTGGGATTATGGGGGTAGGTTTGTCAGAGACAATAGGGTTGGCTCAGGATAGAGCAGGGTTCAGAGCTGTTGTACACAGGGTCACTATGAGTTGCAGGCAACTTGACTGCACATAACAACAACAATATCTGTGCCAACAATTTTAGCTAGCGGAAGAGCTCTAAGAAGTGATCAGTGAGTAGAAGGGATGCTGGAATACTGTTCAAAAGATAGGGAATGGAGGATGCATCCAACAAAGGCTCAAGACTTACCCATTGTGAATATAAGCTCGACAACTCTTGCTGTTATTGATTCTGAGGGTCAGCAGGGAGAACAAAAAAAAGAAGCATGCCATTCCGAAGCAGACTCTATATACTGCAGAGTACCCCACCAGCTTCTCACAGGTGTCACCAGCTTTTATACCTTTACAAATATCTTCAAAGAAAGGAATCTGAGAAAGAGAAAAATGTCATAAGTTAAGGTGCTGTTAGAGGACATTCATTCAGCTCACAAGTCAAAATCCAGTTGTGGAAATGCACCACCAATGCGTAAGAAATAGTAAGGCCAAGGAAGAAAAGAAATAATTATATATCTTCTAAAGTCTTTCTTTCAATTTTCTCTGAAACTATCTTTCTTAAAGATATAGAGCTCACAAAGTACCACTCAGTCCTTACTTGCTCTAAATGATTATTGGTAAAATATTTTAAATCTTGCACAGCAAGAACAAGTAGTAAGCATATTTCTATTAATATCAAAATAGGATTTAATCAACTGTAAAAATGTGACTCTACAATAAAAGACAGTATCAGCACTAAAGCAGAACATTCTTCAGAAGAGAAGTTGGGGGAAAAAAACCTGTAAAGTAACTAACATTCAAACTGTTATCCACAAAAAAAAAAAAAAGAAAAAACACTGCGGGGGGGGGGGGGGGGGGGGGGGAGGGAATACTGACACAATGCCAGAAGGAAAATTGGAGAGCAGTAATAATGAACACGTTTTAAAGCATCTGCTCCAGAGAGGGAGGCCTTAAAGGAATATGACTGCAGCTATTAATGTTCCCGTAAACAAAAGGCTAAATTTAATTAGAGTTCATCTTTTTGAAAGAGGATTCCCTCTCCTCCTCTCTCCAAAGAGTTCTACGTTTTTACATCTCAATCTGTAAACTTGCTTTTCCAAATAAGCACACTAGGCAGAAACATGTTCTTTCTGAGACTAGTATTTAGCTCTCTCTTCTTGATTAATAAAGTAATGTCATCTTCTTTTCAGTCAGTTCTTGCAACTGCAATTTTCCTGGAACAGAAGGGAGCATTAAGAGACATGTTACCATATTTGACTGGGCTACAAAGCAAACTGGCCCACTTGGAGGACTGCCAGATGAAACACAGGATGTCAGTTAAATTTTAATTTCAGACAAACAATGGTAATTTTTTTCATGGCTGGTACTGAGTACTATACTAGAAGGTTGAGAGCCCCGTTGGGACATGATGGTCGTGTCCCTGCTAAGATAGCCAGCCTTATCCTGTATACAAAAGGAAGCTACCTCCCCCCCCCCTTAAAAAGTTCAGCTGCAAAAGTGGAGGGCTTATTGGTTACTGAAAAGGGGACAAATTTTAGGCAACAGCATAAATTAGCAGGCCACTGGCTTAACAGTCCAGATAACAAAGACAAACTAGTGGCAGGAAAAACAGAGATCCTACCACAAGATAAAGGTAAATAATCCAATAGAAAAATGGGCACAGGATATAAACAGACACTTCACCACAGAAGACATTCAGATGGCTAACAAGCCCATGAAGAAATGTTTGTAAAACAATGAAAGAAATTTTCTTTTACGTTTCCAAGAGGGTAGTGTACTAGGGGGGAGGGTTGGGAGGGGGAAAAAGTGCAACAATGAATGAATGGAAATCCAAAGGCTCTATAAATTTTCATTGAAATGAATAATAAATTTAAAAAAAAAACACAACAGATTCTGTGGTTATAAGTCCGAGTTGGAACAGTACATGCATGGCAAGAACTCAAATGAAGGATGAGGAAGGGCTCCGTTTGGGGTGATGGGGTAGAAAGGGAGAGAGGGCAAAGAAGGAAAATGCAAGAAGAACAAATTCAGAGTCATTTCCCAATGCAGTTTCCTCCCTGCAGTCCACTCAAGTGTGACCATTTCTGGAAATGGTTAAGAGCAGTTCAGGTCCAACACAAGGACACAGAAAATGCCTGAACACAGACAGTAAGAGAAGTCATATAAGTCCTTTTTAAAGGAGTCCTAACTGTTCACTGTTTTGTTTAGAATCCATGATCAGAATGATTTAAGCTGCAGACTGTGATATTATAACAGTGATCCATAAAAAAATGAAAGCTTAAAACCAAAATTTTGGCTATATGAAGTACTGGTAAAAAGGCAGCAAGATTTTAAATTTGTGCAAGCTTTATTCATGAAGGAGAAATAACACGTGGTGTTTCGTTGAGATCCACTCCTCCTTACTATTCATTAACAGCTTTTCTCACCTCCCTCTCTCTTGCAAAGGAGCTTCGGTGGTTAGTGCACAATGTGTGAGGCTGCTAACCAAGGCACGTTCTCAACAGCTGCTCCACAAGAGAAAGATGGGTGGTCGTCTCTCATAAAAGTTGAAGCCTGGGAAACTGGATGCAGGGTCACTGTGCCTCAGAGTTGATTCAACGGACGGAGACTTTTGGGTTCTCCCACTTTATCACCTGCCTTTAAATTTCACTGCTGTTAAGTCAGGGAGGACTCCTACCTGGCCTTCCAGCAAGTTCTCAGGGACTGGAAAATCCCAGGGCGAGAGAGTACCCATTTTTCTCCCGTGGAGCTGCTGGTGGATTCCAATCAGCAGAGAGGCCCTGCCTTTGGATTAAGAGCACCTCTCCTTATGAGCTAAGCCACCAGAGCTGCCTTTCAGCTACTTCCTGAACTTCCTGACAACTCTTCCTCATGTAGCCTATAATACAAACCTGTTGATATATCTCCCACCTACATAATCCCACTTTCACCTCTGACTCTTCTCTTACTTCCTACCCCAATCCATTGCTCCCTCCTTCACCCACTAAAATCTTCAAGGAGACCGAGTCCTTAGAGACAAAACAGGAAGAGAGACATTACTGTATTCCACTGTACTGGGTGGACAGGCTCGAGCTGCCATCCTATTCCTGCTCCCTGCCCCACACCTCCACACCACAAGCCCTCGCCCATGTTTACAAATTCATTTAAAATGGACCCAGGGGTTTTAGCTCATCAAAGGGTGAGTATATGGCATTGCATGTTCATCCAAAATAAGAGTAGGCAAACAACCCCCTGATCCAAACACTAACCAAGCTCTCCTTTATGCTCCTGGATGAGTGGCACATTCAGCTTTCAGTAAGCGGCGGATATTTTTAGGTATATAAAAAAAGGGGGGTTTAAACTCTCTAAGTTGAATAAGTTGGCAGAATTTTAGCAAGAGGAATTTGTTCTGATTAAATATTTGCTGTTCCAGAATTTCAAATTCTCATGGACTCTAGACTTTCTGGAGCCATGGAGGCTTGGATAAACCCCTGAAACTATAACCCTCAACTAATCTTTAGCCCCAAATATCTGAAGTCAGTTTAAAATAGAACAACAATTTAGCTTTAATTCATTCAAAAATGTCTGCCTTGAACATTATGGCCTTTTAAGAACTATCTATACGGGATCAAATTGACAACAGTGAATTGAAAGATCAGATAGTCATCTAGGGGGCTGCGAGTCTCCGTCAGTGAGGGATGAACAGCTCGGTGAAGGAAGGGAAGAAGTATTGCACAACTCGATAAATATAATTGATGCCACAAAATTGCACACGTGAAGCTGCTTATAAGGTGTGTGTTTTACTGTGTATATTCTCAACAACAAAAGAAATGTAATTTTCAAAAGGAGGGGAGGGGAGTGCTGCTGCAAGCCCCATGCCAATTTCAGAAAAAGAAAATATACATGGCCTGTGGTGCAGTCATTTGCTTAATACGATCCTTTTGGCCAGTCTTCTGTCTCTATGTCTGTGGTCTCATTTTGGGGTTGTCCAATAACCAAGATTAGGGTGGGAAACATCTGGAACTCAAGTCACCATCACCCTTAGCTGTCCTTGAGGGTCTGGTCTGCCTTTAATATGTATGAATGAATGTTCTGGCAAATTTAACATATAGATAAATGCATCTGGCTTATAACCTTCTGATCTCCAGTTCTGGAACACGAACTTGGCAGTCTATCCTCTGCTCTACCAATCTGGGTTCATCAGCCCCATGAACAAGGAGACTCTTCCAGGCTGATACCTGACCCACAGAATTGGGACTTACCAGTCTCCAAAAACATGTGGGCCACTTTCCTGATGGTTCGTGAGTGCTAAAAGATGCTGAGGAATCCTAAGACAGGGGAGAGTATGAGGGAGGAGGAGCAATTGTTAGAGCTGGACATTCGGGACAGCTTAACCCTTCACCTCACAGCAATCAGTCTTGTGCTGATCCCGCCAAAAGATACTGCTCATGTGACATCACACACAGATTCCACATTATGGGAAGAGGGAATGTGCCTGCTAACAGTATTGGGTGCCCCAGGATTCCAAGGATAAATATGCAAACCCAGGTTCACACACTGGGCTTATGTGGTTTCTGTACAGACCTCTGAGCAAGGTTATAAATTGACCAAAATAAAAATAGCTAAATGCTCATGTGGACTTCCAATCCTAACTCTATCCTTATCACATGACCCTGGCCAAGTTACGATGCCCTCTCTGAGCCTCCAGTTCCTCACCTATAAAAATTAAAAAATTCTATCCCTTATCACCCACCCATCCACCTTATGAAACAGAGAACAGAATCAGATAATCCTTTTAAAATGTCTAACATGACAGTCTCTAACATGTCAAATACCTTTCATTCTAAAAGGCTACCCGGCACCTGAGAGGTTCAGGTGGCACTGTTTTTAAGGCATTTGGCTGCTAACCAAAAGGTCAATGGCTCAAACTCAACATAGGAGAAAACCATTGCTGCTCCACAAGATATGACAGATAAATGTTTACAGCCATGGAAACCCTCAGGGGGCAATTCTCTTCTGCCTCACAGGGACGTCAATCAACTTAATGACCCGGGTTTGTTTTAGGCTTTGAATAAGTAGTTCCTAGGACTGCCAGGAAAACACAACAGATTCATCTTGGAGAGGATTTAACCAAGCTACTCCTTGGAGGCAAGGATTCTGGGGCTTCGTCTGACATACTTTGGACATGTTGCCAGGAGGGACGGGTCCTTGGA